AAAGCCAATCGCTGTCTAGCAAATGCCACCAGCACAGAAACATTGTCAGTACAGAGAGTTTGCACAAGCATAGTGAACGTTTTGACAGCAAAGATGGTAGAGTGCGCGGTTTTTGGATGTAAACCGAACCCCAGAGCTTCCTTCCTCCCTCTGCTACCTAATAACAATGTGAACATAGTGTAACATCGTCACAGATATTACATCTGTCACAACCACTAACGCTGCGGCAGCCGCTGCAAGTTACAGGCTAACAAGCTAACAAGCAACATAAACAAATAAAAGATGCTAACTACACATTTTGACATGAGGCTTAAACATTTAGACTATGGCTGAATCTCTCCGATGTTTCCTCTAATGTTAGCCATCTTGATGCACGGTCCTCTATCGTCAGTGAACCTGGCACAAGCAGCGGTAATGGGTGGGGCCTTCTTAGAGCCAGTATTCCTCAGTGAGGGAGAAAAAGTTCTTCCAGTTTTTTTTTTTTTTTCCTTTTTATCTGTTTAAAATCATTTTAAACTAAATAGAGTATTTTTACATACTTTTAAAACACATTGCAAGTTCTAAGGTGATGTCTTTACGTTGCTTGTTTCTTCTGATCAGCAGTATAAAACCCAAAGATATTTAAGAGGCGTTTTTGCTTGATGAATTAGTAAAATGTCAATTATCAAATGGTGAGTTAAAGGTCCAGTGTGTAACATTTGGGAGGATCTACTGTGAGAAAGGGAATATAATATTCATAGGTATGATTTCATTAGTTGACCTGAATATAAATTTCGTTACCTTTTAGAATGAGCCATTTAAATCTACAGACGAGGCGGGTCGCCTTCCATCGAGGGCGCCATGTTCAACCGCCATGTTTCTACGGTAACCCACAGCGGACAAACCAAACACTGGCTCTAGGTTGGGCCTTTAGTGTTTTTTTTGCCAGTTTCATGGCCACGTAGTTTCTCCTTCGCACTTGGAAAGGGAGGATGAAGCGAGGGGGAATTCTACACACTTTTCCTTTTAATTTTCGACTAATCAGTTGTTTCAGTGCTACATTTTACCTTTTGTTGTCACTATAATGTTGCCAGTGTGCAGTGAAATGAAACCACTCACATCTAAAGACACTAATAACCTCTGTGAAACACTAGAAACTGCTTATGAAATGTGGTTTTCTCTTCTATGTTTCCTGGTCCAATGGAAAAGTCTCCATATTTCCTTCATTATTGTCCAGCGTTTACTGACATTCAATGAATCAGTGTCTAATATTATTTCACATATTTTATAAGTAAATTAAGACAAACTGGCAACACTGAAGAGAATTTTTTTATAATAACAGTTAATCGCTTTACTTGTTGGCACAATACACCTGTACTGGTACAAAGATGTCACTGCCTCTCTCTCTTTAAAGATCAGGTTTTTATAAATGGAGATGAGCGTTAAATGTTTATCTTTTTATAATCTGAAAGATGTATACACACACAGACGTTGATATTTTCCCCTTTTACTAATTGATTTTTCCTTAACGATTTGCACTCTGACATTAAAGTTTACATTTTACAGTAGGTTATCCTAACGTTTATGCAAATATATCAAATTTGAAAGTGCATTTTTACAAAATTAACTTGATAAACGTAAAAGTCAACTCAGTTTGAGCATGTCCTTCCTTGTTTTAATTTGGATGAAGTTAGTGGGGAAAGACTGGTTTGATATTTCTGAACACAAGTTGCAGTGAAATAATGTTTGTCTGTAGGAATCACTCTGTTACAGCTGTTCATGTGAACAAACTGTGTGTCTTCTTTACATCTTACTGAGATTTCAGGGTTTAACTCCCAACTTGAACTCTCTGTATGATTTTTAGTTGTTGATGCCATTCATATGAAAGAAAATAAATAAATCGCTACCTTCTGAAGAGTTTTTGCAGGTTGTTTCTTTCCATGGTCAGCCCTTATATACATATATTCTGATATATCTATGAAACACAAGATATCAGACAGGGATACAATTATTAAGTGTATTTCCATCTTTGACCCTGATGTTAAAGGCATTCACAGGGGGAAAGGGGACTATTATACCGGACCCTCATGTGAGGAGAGCCTGCAAAGATACTAGAATGAAGACATGGATACACCTGGACTTGTTGTATATATTTAACAACCCTGGATATATACACCCATATTTATTTTGCAAATGTAATACTCCTCAGACTGTGCAACTTACCTCCTCTTTTGCAGGTAGTTGGACTTCATGTTCCTGTGTTTATGATATGTATATTTATTTCTATATTTCTTACAACTGTTTTTGCCATGCTTTGGGTTGGCTTTTAATCTCATTGTACATGTGTATAGTGGCAATAAAGGCATTATATTCTATGTTATTCTACCCCTGGGCATTTACTTAGTAGTATCTGGTGTTTATACAAAGCTATGTGTGTAAATGTATGATGAATAATAACTCTTGGTGCCCAGGTGTTCATAGCTACAGGCTGGTTGTTGCTTCATGTAGTTGCAGCTGCTCGCCGGCAGAGGTTGATAAAGATTACAGACTGCTCACATCCCCTATAAATGAAACAGCGTAGAGCCAATTGGTCCTCTCCCGGCTTCCGTCGCCGGTTCGGGCTGCAGTGAACAACAGCGGTCTGTCGGATAACTTTGTCTGGAGCAAGTCACAAAGATGGCGAACGTGGTGCTGGAGTTCAAGGCTTCTGCCGGTGACTCCGAGCCACAGAGTCGCCCTGTTCTGATTATCGGACAGCAGTCGAGCCTGCAGCAGGTCAGCTGGAGTCAGATCAAAGGCAAACTGCAGCCGGTCGTCAGCAAGGAGGTAACTGACAGTGTTTGTGACAGCTAATGTTTGTGCTAATGCTATGCTAAGCTAACCGAGCTAGCGACGGCGAGGGTCGGTTAACGTTCGTGCAACGGCCGGTTAACGTTCGTGCAACGGTCGGTTAACGTTCGTGCAACGGTCGGTTAACGTTCGTGTAACGGTCGGTTAACGTTCGTGTAACGGCCGGTAGCCCGCTAACGTTAGGAGATAACGGGTACCAACGGTCGGAGCCAGTAACGGTTGGTTGTGTTTTATTAAGTAAAACCTCATTTTAATATAATGTTTAGTTTTCTAACTGTAAGTAACACAAGTGGAAGTGTTTGTTATAGTTTATTATTCAGTTTAAATAACTTATCAGGGAACAGTATTAGGTTTTACAA